GTCGATATGTTATCATCCATTAAAATTTACTTTGAATCGTCGTTCAATGTCAATGCCACGTTATTTGATAGCTTATCATCTTTTGACATAACTGCTGGATGTCATTATTTGAAGTTTACTGTTTCTTATTATAAAGGCCTTTATATTTCATTTAATTGCTGAATGTAGCCTGGGGGTCTTGTGGTCGAGAGATTACGGTGTTCGCGTCTCATTCAATAGGTCCTGGGTTCGAAACTGACAGCGACGGAAAAATTTCTCTTCTAAAATGTTCCCTTTTCACCTCCTTAATTCCTGCTCTCTAACCATGTTCTGTCGTCTGCTTTCATCTCCTCTTTCTGCCCACTTGCCTCCTCGCCCCCTCTCCTTGTGCCCCCTCCTCTGGGCTCCTGACTCGTTCTGCAGCCTTTCTATTGCTATTTCTTAGCTCCTTCTTACTGCTGTCTGTCAGTCATACCCCTGTTCTTATGGTAGGTTAGATCAAACACCTGGCCTTCTCGGATCAGGGTGAAAAATCTCAGAGGTCCCATGTGCAAGTTGCGCCAGTTAAAAGATCCATTGGTGCTAAAATCAATAAGAGGAGGTTTCGGCCACCTCCTCGGCAAAAGTCAAAATTCCTATCAACTGAAAATGTTATATGTGTCTGGAGCGCTCATAATACTCATATGACCTTACGCAGTTTCGAGCACCGCAAAACACCTACCGAAACAAAACTGAATGTTGCCCAGCACTTTTGCATCTGTTATCAATGCATCATTTAGTACTGCCCATCGCTTCATGTCTTCTTTTGTGCTTCCTTTATTGATCTAAAGAGTGTCTATTGAGGTGGTAAACATTTACTATTGGCCCTACTTACAATCTTTCCCTCCTTTGATGCCAACTTTTTGTCATCTTCCATAGGTTTCCTATTTTATATTATCCTCAATAATTCTCAAGTTGAATGTTCCTGACTTTTCCATAAACCATTAATATTTTTTAAAATAACGGCGCTAGTTATCTACATATAGATGCTGTTTTAGCCAGTTATATCATCTTTTGATTTCTTCTCTTTAAGTAGCCTTGTGGGTAGTTGACAGGTGTGGTTTGCCTATCAAACTCTCCTCCTTTTATTTGTAGGTTAGTATCTAGTACCACCTCTAATCTTCGACGCTTGTGTGACCTAACTGTGTTGCAAGTGCCGTAAAATTGTCACTGAAACTACAACCGAAAAGTCTCTCTCAGCTCTATCTTTGTGGTTGTCCACAGGCTCAACATTGTGGACCAGGACACCAAGAACAGTTTTGATTATCTGCGGACGTTGAGAGGCCTGGACCACGTACATCTCACTGTGGACTTCCAGCAGCGCATCGTTGGAGGGTTTGGGGGCTCTTAAGTTGTCGAAGTCAAAGTTGTGTGTGTACACTGCCTAAATTTGCATATATATATATGGGTGAAAGACATGTTTCTGGCTAGTCAAATGCCAAATGAGGCCAGACAGATCAATGCTGTAAAATTATTTAGACATTAGAACAAATATTGGGAGAAAAGGAGGAGAAAAAAGTGTCTATGATTTTATTTGGAAAACACATTTTCCTCACGACAGTAATGGTTTTTCCTGAAAAGATGTAGTATGTGCATTTCTCTGTATTTTGGTAGCGGCTATAACAGGGCCTGTTTCATTCACCCTAGCCTGTATCCCTTAATGTCGATGAATTTTTTTTATATCTGTGGGTTTCATTGTCTGTATGAAGTCCTTGAACGTGGATATAGCTGGCACTCTGCCAATGTTGTTTCTAATTTTTTACTTGTGTCGTTGGTATAAGTCACTATAGCTTGTTCACTTTCGTCTGTCTGTAATAAAAGGGGAGAATGACAAACTGCTCTGTTTAATCATCTCAGGTCTTTGCATGCCAGTCTAAAAGTTGGATGACCAACACAATCTAAGAGCCCATCAATGAAGGTCACAGCAAACTTAGGTGCCGACGTATTTCTTTTGATGTTAGCTTAAAGGGGATTTTAAAAAATAATGGTAGATTTACAGCATACACCCTAAGCATTAAAAGGTTGACCTATTTTTTTCACTCTCATGCTTTAAAGCATGGTCCAATTGACAAGTGAGTACTTTTCGAGGTTCATATTGAGATGTGTAGACAGTCTTGGAAGGAAATCAACTTGCTCACACTGAGAGTGTCTCTGTCTCAAAATGAAAGATGTTTAGTCTAGTTTACCTCAAATCGTTTTTTGCAATGATCTGTATGCACCCAAAGGTTGGTTTTGATAAAGGGATCAATTAACATTTCTTAAAATTAATAGATCAAGAATTTTAAAAGACAACATTTTTTGTTTGGTTACTGGCCTACAAGAGTGTCATGCAAAATTGTGCGCATTGGTGAATTAATAAATGAGCTAGAATTATTTAATGCGGACAGACAAAAGTGACCAAGTAATAGTTATAATTTGTATCATTTATTTTTGTCAATAATTCATGTTTGATTATATTATAGTTTAAGTCATTAAGTTCAATTTATTTCCCCAGTTAAAAAACGACATCTTTTGTTGGATTTTGTCACTATAGTCGCTCAAAAATTTGTTTCCGAACTTATTGTTAAATATTTCCTAAACTATGGGAACATAAACTCTCCTGCTTTTGCACATTGACTTGTATCATCTTAACAGATCAATATTTTTGTAAACACCCTTTAGCTGTATTCTAGAAAACTCCTTAATAGACTTTAATTTTTAAAATCCATGTGGTAACTTTCCACAGATTTTACAAGGTTTACAGCTGGGGCAATGTGTCTTTTTTCAATGCAAGTCTGTCATTTTTTTTTTATCATGACACTATCTTTGTTGAACGCATGTTTTAACAACCTTTAGTGCAAAAAAATATTTTCACAATAAAATTAATTTCTTGTAACAAGTTCTGCCAATAATAAGGGCCATTGGTGAGCTGTGACATAGGCCATGTTCGTATGCAAAATCATTGTGAGCAGCGGGGAGTGCTGTGAACACTTTCATTTTCTGTGTGAGGAAAATTTATAGTATATTAAAGAAATTTATGCAGAAAAGTTTTTCAATCTAAACTCAGTTGTTGTGGAAAAGTATGTTTAAGTTGAGACAAATTGATACAAACTGCTGTGCAAAGTATGGATGACATTGATTCTCCTGTTAAAGAAATATTTGAGGATAAGTTGCACCACGAATTTGTCACCACACTATAGTCATTGTATTGTTGGTTTATGTTTATTTATGGCTTTCTTCCATTGTTGGTTTATTTTATGAATTGTATTGTTGGTTTATGCCATGACTGTTGGTTTAAGTCTAGTTTTGACTTTTATTTCTGATTTATGTTGTGAATTGTATTGCTGGTTTCTGCCACGAATTGTATGATTAGTTTATGTCCAGTAATGACTTGTATTGTTAGTTTATGTGTAGTTATGATTTGTATTGTTGGTATATGCCATGACTTGTTGGTTTATGTGTAGTTATGATCTGTATTGTTTGTTTATATTATTTCTTGTATTGTTGGTTTGTGTCTAGTCATGACTTATACTGTTAGTTTATGGGTAGTTACGATTTGTATTGTTGGTTTATGTCAGGATTTGTATTGTTGGTTTATGTCAGGATTTGTATTGTTGGTTTATGTCAGGATTTGCCTTGTTGGTTTATGTTTAGAGTTATGACTTGTATTGTTGGTTTATGTCTAGTCATAACTTGTATTTTTGGTTTATGTCTATTTGTAACTTGTATCGTTAGTTTATGTCTAGTTATAACTTGCACTGTTGGTTAGTGTCACTCCTAATGGCGAGTATTGTTGGTTCCTGTCTGCTGATTCACGAGACAACGTATGCTGAAGCTTATCGACAATTATTTATCTTATCTTCTTACAATCCTCTTCTTGTGACCTGAAGACCTAATTTTTATTGAGTAGTTGTAATAATCACTCTCCTGTTCATTTTATGTGTGGCATCATGGTGTAATCAGGCGCTCATCAAAATAATGAAATCGGAGAAACCAACATTTTTTCCCCCTGTTCGACAATTTTTATTGAATATTTGTTTTTGCTCAACGCTTTTTAATTTCCTATTAAATACATATTTCATGTGAATTTTACTGAAAAATGTTCATCGAAGACACACAAAAATGTAAATCTGCAGTTTCCAAAGACTCTCAAGCTTTGCAAATTGCCAAACTTTGGTGGGCATTTTCCCTCATATTTTTTTTATGACACCCACCTCCTTCAATTGCAAATATTTTGACTTCTATTCAAGATAGATAGGAGGGTATTTTTTACATCAAAAGCAAGGCAAATGGACAAGCTTTAAGATTGTACCAATATCTTCATATGCCCAAAAATTGATGGGTGCCTGTTTCCACCATGTTGCGACATATATTGTTGCTGAAAATTGCAAAGCTGGTATCTGCAAAGTACCTTATATAATTTTACTGGAGAGAAAACAGAAATTGTTGTCGAGAGCTCAATGAAAAATTTTTTTACACAATGTCAAAGGGTACCTTTGTTGCTATATTGGTAAGGATGATTGATTCTTAATTTTATACCAAAATATTAGTATCCAATTACTGTGCAATTATAAACTTTGTAACTTGTACCAATATATTTTTCATTTATCTTTTCACCACCTTATTCTTTCTCTTTTAATGAAGCTTTACCTTTTTCTCTCAATATTTTGCAATCACTTTGTCTTTTAACATCAACTGCTCAATATTAGACTCTATCATACGTCATACATCATTTTTTTTAGAATGGTATATGCCAGATTATGCTTAGCAGACAAATATTCTTTTTAGTGGTTTCCTTTTCAGAAAATTGTTTATGATCTCTGTAGGGGGGGGGGTTCAAGAAGTCTTTTGTTTAAATGTGAAGGAATAAATATAGAGCTTTGTAACTTTCTCGGCAAATGGGTTTTCCATTGCATGGAAGATATTTTTTTGTTCTGGATCAAAATGATAAATCCGTGTTTCATCAATAGTCACCATATTTTAAAAGAAATTTGTGTCATTTGACTCAATTCAAAGGAGTTTTGCAGGACTCAATCCTCTGCTTCTTTTGCTCATTTGTCAGAAGGTAGGGTACCCCCCGCGCACACACCTTATTTATGTTAAGATGGTCATGGAGAATCGTTTGAATTGACCCTACACTGATTCTCGTTTCACTCGAGAGCTGTTCAACAGTTATAAGTCAGTCTTGTAAAATCAGTTTCTTCACTATGGATACATTCTCTTCAGTTACCATAAAGGATAGGTGCCCTTCACGATCTTCATCCATCACTGACATGAATCCAGATTTGAATTTTCTTACCCAGTATGCCACAGTATTATAACAAGGACATTTGTCACAATAAACTTGGACCATTTCCTGAAAAATGTCCGAAGGGGATTTTCCTTGCATGTGTAAAAACTTGATGACTGAGCGATATTCAACAGGCTCCACGGCACAGCTTCATCAAAGAAAAACCAAACGTTTTTGTGCATGATTTCATTGAACACGCAGAGTAGTGCCTTATGACTGTCGGATTTTCCCATAAATTTGCATGGTGTGTTTCAAAGAAATTGTCTATAGGCTGGGGAAATTTCTTGACTGTACCAAGATTCCTTCATACCCAGACCAAAGACTTATTGAACCCCCCCTCGTAAAATGTGACTTTCTTGTATGTGGGGACAAACAGTTAATTTCTGCATATTCTATGTCAAGTGTGGCCCAAGTCTATGCTTAAGGTTGTATTTATGGCAGGAAGCACTGAATCATATGCTAATGCAGCAAAGACAAAGGTTGCATTATTTGTTAATCAGTACTTTAAACGCACTGAACATTTCTTTTCATCGTTGAAGATCAGGCATTGTACATTCTATCACAAGAGCTAGACACAAAAATACCCCAGGGACAAAATGTGTGTTTCTCTTGGACTGTGTGTTTAGTATCGGTACAATATATCAGTTTTGTTGTATAGCATCCATGATGACAGATATCTCTGTTTTAATCAGCTTGATTATCCTCGGCATGAGATGTCAGGGGTTAGTTTATAGGTCATCTCAAGCAAAGAATTTTTTTTTGCTTTTTTTTTTTTTTTTGGGGGGGGGGGGGGTTGCGTTTGTTGTTTTGGGTTTTTTTTGTGCATTTTTTTTACCTAGTAGTCAAGACTCTGCAGATACTTGTGGTGTTGAGAAAATAATCATACGATTTCTGTCTGACTGAGATGAATACTGATTTCTTCTTTCCTTTTTTTTTGTTATTCACTTGTTGTCTTTCCTCTTTGCAAAGCACTCTGCTTTTGAAATAACCTATTAGCGTCTGAAAGGACGTTATACTGAATGTACTGGCAAAGTCAGTCAACCTTTTAACTGTTGCACATGTGTACTGTATACATTGTAGGAACCGTGTGGTTTCAAAGTTGTGTTTTCTTTTGTGTGAATTTGCTGTGCCTCCCTTTATTTACACTGTGATTTATCCTCCAATTTTTATTCTGCTTATTGTATAACATTGATATTTCCAATCTTTTACTTTGTTAGCTTTTTCCATCTCCTTGATAGACCCATGACGTGTTAACATTTCTGTTTTATTGTTACTTTACTGGTGGCTGATTTCTGTTATATATTCAACTTGTTGAGAATTTTAAAAATTGGGTCTTTACAATCTACAGAAAATGAAATTCCTCTCGTTTTTGTTTTACTGAGATCCATTTTTTTTTTTTCAATTTCTGAGATTTCAGAATTTTGATCATGATGAAAATGGGGGGGGGGGGGGGGGGGGGGGAGATTTTTGGGCTGTATGAAGATAATATCTGTACAATGGTGATAGGTATTGCCCAGGCTAGGTTACAATTTCAATTAATTTAGAGATGACACTGTTGTTGGCGGGTGGTTAGTGGGTGCTCTAGTGTAGTTTGCTCCTTCTTTCCTTTATCGAACATCTATTGTCCTGATCTCTCCTCTTTCATTTTTGTGTTTACTACTGTCTTGTAAAACTCTTATCTTCCGTACTTTTATGACCGTGTCATGTTGCATGTGCTGTAAAACCATAAAATTCTTACAAAAACTAAAACTGTAGTCAATACATGTATTCCAATTGGTTATGGAATTTGAAGAAAGTTTTGCCAATGGGGTAGAGCCTGGGTACCGTGACAATGTTATTTTGGTGGAGTAGTTCCCCTTTTGTTAGGGTGCAGCCTATCTAAAACTGAGTGCCCACTACCTGTCAGATTCATTTGATTGAAGGCTCTCGTGGTCAAGAGGTTACAGTGTTAGCCTCTCATTCAATAGGTCCCGGGTTCCAAACCTGATGTCTGCTTTCCTCTCCACTTTCTGCCCCCATCCTTCTCTGCCCCCTTCCTCTGGGCTCTTGACTCTTTTCTGCAGCCCTTCTACTGCTACTCCATGGCTCCTTCTCACTGCTGTCTTTCAACCACACCCCTGATCTTACTGTTTTAGGGTAGATAAGATCTGACACCTAGTGTCCTTGGATAAGGATGAAAAATCTCTGAGTCAGAGGTGCCTTGTGAAAGTTGCGCTCATTAAAGATCCCTTGGTGGTCCAAAATCAATCAAAGTAGGCTTCGGCTACCACCAAGGCAAACTTCAAAATTAATTCCTACAAAACTAAAAATGTTTACTGTATCACGCACGCTCATATGACCGTATGCAATTGCGAGCATGGTAAACACTTACTCAAGCTACTATTTTGGCACAGTTTGACCGAATTAGAATAAATTTGAATGTGACCTTCAAAACCACATGGTTATTTGTTTTTTAAAGCCACTCATCAAATTGGTTGTACTGTGCCGGAATAGTAGTTTTTCCTCTCCATGTTGGAAAACCTAGCTGGTACTG